GGCTTTGCAGCTTTAAGTTTCTGCCTGTAGTTTGGAATAAGATGGACCATACAGTGATCAGAGAGTCCAAGGGCTACGCAGGGGACAGATCGGTAGGCGTCTTTTATTGTTGTGTACCAGTGGTCCAGTGTGATTTTGTCCCTGGTGGGACAGGTAATGTGTTGTCTGTATTTGGGCAGTTCGTGGGTGAGATTTGCTCTGTTAAAGTCCCCTAGAACAATGAGTGGAGAGTCAGGATGTTCTAGTTCCAGGCTAGTTATCAGTTCTGCCAGGAGCTGTAGTGTGCTAGCGTGGGCCTGCGGCTTTAAATAGGCATCTACCAGGATGAAGCTTGAAAATTCACAAGGAGAACAGAAGGGTTTGCAGTTGATAAAAAGAGTCTCTAAGTCTGTGTTACATGTCCTCTGTAGCACTGTGACATCTGCGCACCAACGTTCATTTATGTAGAAGCAGATTCCACCTCCTCTTGTTTTCCTGGACAGCTCCATTATGAGATCCGCTCTGTACACCTGGAAGCCCGGTACTTGTGTCGTGCTTTCCGCCATCGAGTCACTGAGCCAGGTCTCCGTAAAGCACAAAGCAGCATAGTGTGCAAAGTCAGAGTTAGTCCTGTTGACGAGAAGAATTTCATCCATCTTGTTGACCAGGGAGCGGAGATTTGTTAAGTGGATAGACGGGAGTGGAGTCCGGGTCCCTCTCTGGTGTAGCCTCACCAAGGCACCCGCTCGCTTTCCACGGCGGCATTTTTTCCAGATCACGTACATGGCAGTTGCGCCTTCGATCAGAATGTCTATACAGCATTCTTCGTTCATAAAAATTGGAGAAAGGTAGTTCAGTGTGAGTTGTCTGATATTTAACAGTTCTTCTCTGGCAAAAGTAACCTGGGATGGGTTGCAAAAGACAGAGAAGACAACGAAAAACAACAAAGACAAGAGAGCGCGAGTAACCATCTTACTTATCTTACTTATTTGTGACTATACATTTCCTAAAGATCAGAATCACACAATGTATTTTCCTCCATAACACAAATATGTGAGCATATTATGTTTCAAATTAGTTGATGTACAATTTTCTTTCTGCTTACCCTCTGCAACTGTAAAAGTACACCTCCTGGGGTACACGTATGAACAGTATGCTATTTTGGAATCACTGATTTAAAGCAGTGACTGGTTACCATGGCCTACTGATCTGTTACAGATGTGTTTCCTCACTCGCTGACATAAAACCTTGCTAAGAGCTGCCATAGTATTTGACCTCTACTACTGAAAAAATGACTAATCTAGGAATTACTGAGCATGTGTTCCACTGTGCAGACGAAGACAAATCACTTAATGCTATCCTGACCATGCATGAGTGAAACAAATCAGGAAGAAAATACTACCTAAGCCAGAGATGTTTTGGTGAAACCCAACAGCAATTAGAATAATTTAATAAATTTACATTTGAGCTATTTAGCTAATGCTTATCTGCAGGGACTTATGGTGGCTGCAGCCGCGGAATGAGCTTAAACTGCCAGTTTGGGAAAAAAGCATCAGCTCAAAGCCTCAAAAGTAAATGTATTAGATCATTTCTATCAGTGTTGTGTTTGCAAAAGCATCACGCTCAGGGTGGCTAATTTGGCTTGAACTCAGATTGGAGCATGTAATGATGTGAGAAGAGCATGAGTGTATGCAAGCTACCACCTTTTCACCTAGTTCTGTCTCTGTATTGACACCTACTAGGACAAGTCGTTATGAGGTTTTCAGGTGTTCTCACTAGTTTTATGTGTCACAGATTTCTCACACTGATCTTCTTCTTTTTCTTCTTGTTTTACTTTCAACTGTTCCCGTTAGGGGTCGCCACAGCGAACCATCTGTTTCCACCTAACTCTATCCTCGGCATCCTCGACTCTCACCCCAATTAACTTCATGTTATTACCATGTTGTGCCAAAACAGCCGACCTGAGCTGTCCCTCTGATGTGCTCATTCCTAATCCTGTCCATCCTGATCACTCCTAAAGAGAACCTCAACATCCTC